CTGTTTATAAGATAACAAGCTGTCAGCAAAGCTTCACCCCAGAATGGCTTAGGTAGTTTAGCCATACTCAACATGCAGCGAACTTTCTCCATAATGGTCCAATTCATTCTTTCGGCTACACCATTGTGCTGTGGAGTTCGTGGAACCGTCTTCTCATGTCTGATTCCATATGCGGCGCAATATGCTAAGAACTCCCGAGAAGTGTACTCTCCTCCATTGTCTGAACGCAGGCACTTCAGCTTCTTCCCTGTTTCTCTTTCTACCATGGCATGAAATAATTTGAAGCGATCAAACACTTGATCCTTACTCTTCAAACAATAAGCCCATACCTTTCGTGATGCATCATCAATGAATGTCACGAAATATCTGCTTCCTCCAAGTGACTCCTCTTCAATGGGTCCGCATACATCAGAGTGTACAAGACTGAGTAACTCTGAATGGTTCTTTCTGGTAGAACTCAAGGAAACCCTGTGTTCTTTCCCGAATAGACAGTGTTCGCATGGATCTAGGGCAACACCTTTGCCCATGGAAATGACTTCCTTCTTTGCAAGAGTTGTCAATCCCTTCACGCTCAAGTGGCCTAGCCTCCGGTGCCACAAGTTTGGTGATATCTCTTCTTCAACAGCATTAAGACTTGGATGACACAACTTTGCATGAGTTTTATAAAGAGTACCACAAATATGGCCTCTTGCAACAACCAAGGAACCTTTAGATAACTTCCACGTACCTTCTTTGAATCGGTTAAGATATCCTTGCTGATCCAGAGCTGTACCAGAGATAAGATTCAATCTAAGATCCGGAACATGTCGAACATCTTTCAACAAAAGTGCGCATCCGACATTGGTTGTTATGTGCACATCACCAATGCCAACAATCTTCGAGAAACTCATGTTTCCCATCTTCACAGCTCCAAAGTCTCCTGACTTATAAGATGTGAATAAGTTCTGGTGTGGAGTAGCGTGAAATGATGCGGCTGTATCAATCACCCACTCAACATCATGAGTACCTACGTGTAAACATTCTTGTTCACCATGTGTAACAAGACACACGTCTGATGACAAACTAACCATGGTCTCACCGTCTTCTTGGCTAGTATTTTGACTCGTCTGTGGCTGCTCTCGTAGAAACTTTCTACAATCTCTTTTTCTATGCCCATAGTTACCACAATAGTTGCAATATCCTTCAAACCAAGTATTGTTTTCACAGGACATACCTCGTTCTTGTGATTGGCCGCGAACTTGAGAATTTCCTCTGTTTTGACCTTGACCTCTACCTCGACCTCTACTTCTTCCTCCATTTCTGCCTCCCCCTCGTCTTCTGGTTTCTGACACGAAGGCATATGATTGTTCAGTCCCGACTTCTTTTCTTCGGGCTTCTTCGTTCATAAGGGCATCTGTGACCATCTGCATAGTCACTTTGCCATTGGGAGCAGAATTGCTGAGAGTGACAACAAGAGTCTCCCAGCTGTCAGGTAGAGAGCTCAAGAGTAGTATCGCCTGCTCTTCATCTTTGAGAACCCATCCTGTGGTGCTCAACTGATTCACAAGATCCTGGAATTGACTGGTGTGTTCTGACACCGAAATACCTCCTCGTAACTTGTCACTACTAGAATTTTTGTCATTTGCTGCACCCCTTTTGCTGCGGTCGTAGGCTTAACCGCAGCAATAAATGAAAATTTTGAAGTATTTGCGGCGGTCTAATTGCAACCGCAGCAATTATACCCAAAAAACTAGACTATTTGCTGCGGACGTTTAGGAACCGCAGTAATTAACCCAAAAAATTTGAATTACGCAGCTCAAATGAAATTAGAAATTAAAATTATTTTAACTTTCGTTGCGGACGTTTTGTAACCGCAGCAAGCCAGCAATAACATTAAAAATAGGGTAACCCTCGCAGGCTACGGTTTCAGCAGACCAGGGCATCGATTATCTTCTTCATTCCAGCCGCCGGCCATCGTCGTTCCAACTCTCATCGCCGCCGTCTGTGTAGGAGAGCCTCGCCGTCGTTCAGCTTCTTTGTTCTAGCCCGCCGTCTCCGGAGGCAAGTCCCCGCCTCCTCCAGTAGTACGTCCATCTACTCCGCTCTCCTAAGCCGCGGCCGTCTCCGCAGCACACTACACTCCGCCTCCTCCTCCCAGTAGAGTCTCCATACTCGTCTCCACCTTCTCCGGACCTTGTCTACTCAATAGAGGTTTATTTTCTAACCATTTATCATATCATTCAATTTATTGAATTTGATCACTTTTTAGGTTAATATTTCTGTGAATTTATCTGTAGAATTGGGTTTTATTTTCTTATAAATTGCGGTTTTTGGTATTTAAGTAATCAGACCACTTTTTTTTTCTTCTTTTGGAATCTTGGAATATTTTTAGAGAGTAACTCCAAGTTGCTCTTTCCACACAAAACAAAACTGATATAAATTGAATCAAAAGTTGGGAAATGAATGAGTATATTAAAAAAAACAAAAAAGATGAACAAGTAGAATAAATTAAAGTAAGTTTTTTGTTTTGTTTTGGGAAGAATAATAAATTGTTAGTGTGATTAATTACTGCCTGGTGGTGGTGATGGTTTGGCCAATTGGGAGGATCAAGATAGAGCAAAACAGAAGAGAAAACCATTGATGGGAATGTGATCTTTAATTTTTCTAGCTTTTTGATATATGCCCTTGGCCGACCTTCTCAAATAAATTCTCTTTCTTTTTAAATTAACTGTTGAATTGATGAGATTTTATGAGATATAAAGAGGAGAATCACATCAGGCAAGTAATTGGAGAAGAGAGATAAACTAAAGCAATTCAAAGCAATTTTGTGTGTGCAGATGCCAGAGAAAAGATCAAAACAAAATTGAAATATGCATTGCCTGCAAAGGAGAGGCAAGATTCTGTATACAGTGGATTTCAGGTACATGCTTACCTCTAATGACATACTCATGCTCTTCAATCACATCTTTTCTAAAGTGCCTATTTTGAGTGGCCATTTGCCAATTTTTATTACGTGTTCATAATTTACAGAAACTATTCTGATCTAGCAATTGTTCTAATGGAAGTTCTTGAACTTTGGTGCCATTTGTATTTTAGGATGTCACTCAGATGTTTTTCCAAATAATATAGACTTTAGCACTGTTACAAGCCTTAGTAATCGTACTTAAACTTCTTCTAACACACTCACACTTACTGTTTTTCTCATATAACCTCAATGTCATTTATATGATGTAATGTTTTGTTTGATGTATCAGGCAGATGATGTGAACTCTGAACTCATTTGCATCCATGACTCTGCAGAAGATATTTATTGACAAGGTTTGATAATCAAGGGTTTGTTTTGTTAACTTTTCCTGTTTCATATTTGGCAAAATACTTTATACTACGTATGATTTATGTTGCTCCCTCTGATCCTCTATAAAGCCTTAGTATGTGTTCCCTTTTTGTCGATTCTTTGCAGGGGCACTGCATTTCTACTGACTCTCATAGACTTGGGGTTATTATATGGCTCATATGTTCCCGATTAGTGTACCTCAGCTTGGTTCCTTACATTCATACAACGAAACTTATGTGTACAAGGTTTGCCCATCATCACCTTCCTTAATTTTCTTGAGTAAATTTTCATGTTTGTGGAAGAAGCCACTTGAATTTTGTTGTGTACAATTTCATAATTTAAATTTAAGTAAACTGAACATGATAGAAGAGTTTCCATACGAGTCACAAATAGCTATGACCAAGTTTGCAAAACCACTTTTTAAGAACAAACGACCATTATACAATGCTTAATAATTTCTGTACTTATGATGGGTGCTTCCTAGGAATATTTATTTTCAATAATTTTAAAAAAACTGTTTTTTTGTAAATAATTAATCAGACACCATAAGCCTCGTCATTCCTTCCCAGTCAATCGTCCGGCCAGCCTTGAATGTGGCGTCAGCAATCTTCTCTACTGCCCCGTTCATTCTCTCTTTTGTTTCTGTTTGGGGCATTTTTGGTGATATTTTGCACAGTAATGGAAACCTGATAGTTTTGTTAGCTAATAAATTAATCACTATGTGTTATAGAGGTAGATAAATGACTGGTTCTAGTTATTAGGTTTAACTCTGGTTTCAAGTGATAGCTTTAAGTCTTAGTGAGCTTTAAAGGTTAAATTAAATAGATGAGTTAGTTTTTAGCCTGAAGTATTTATTCGGCTTGTATTGTTTAGTTGAGTTCAAGACGCCAATTGATAGATTTAGTTTGATTTGGTATTAGTTTCAAGCTTTCATGAACTGATGTGCAAATTGCTAGGTTTAATTTATAATTTTAGCTAGTTGGGTAGGGCTATTTCTTATGATAATTTTAATTTATAATGCTAGCAGCTATTTCTTTAAAAAAAATGCTAGCAGCTATTTCTTTTAAAAAAATGCTAGCAGCTAGCTTATGTGTAGTATTTGGGTTTGATTTTTCATATCATTCAATTGTGTCATTATTCTAATCATTTTAACTATCAATCCTTAAAGTTAGCTTCACTTCCCCACCTCCTCAATTTAACTTTTGTATTTAGTTGTCATCAAATTTTAATTTCTGCAGATCCTGGACAAGTTTCATTTTTCGCAGGATACATGAGTCGTTCAAGGTTGCATCAATGTATTCAATCCTTGGTGTTTTTTTAATTAGGTATAAGATTGACCATTTTTGCAGGTTTAAGTCTTTATAAAGGCCGTGTACTCGCTGTAATATTTTATACCTTTTTGGGACACAATACTCTTATAAAGTTGGTTATTTTAAATAATCGAAGTTATTAGCATTTTTTTGTATTTGATGTGTACCTTGAATACATGTTACTTTATATGAGTGATGACTTTATTTTACTCTGTACTTTATGTAAAGATTGTGCTTTGGTGTAAGAACATGTTAAATTATCCATTTGGAGCAATAATATACGGAGTAAGAAAATATGTAGCATGATAAATTGTCCATTTGGAGCAATAATAAGAAAAAAAGCAGCAGTTTTTATAGGAATAAATAAAATAAATTTTGCTGAACTATTTGCTGCGGTTGTATAGGAACCGCCGCAATAAATAAATTAAAAAAATAGACACACCTATTTGCTGCGGTTGTTGACCGCCGCAAATAACTTAATCCACATTTTGCTGCTCCTCCAATTGCTGCGGTTCAGAACCGCAGCAAATAGCTTAAAATAACCGCAGCAAATAGACTTTTTTCTAGTAGTGTGTGGTTTACTAATCTCCTCATTAGTAACGTCTTATTTCGGGCGGTTTTTGCTTGATACATGCTACCAAGCTTCTCCCATAGTGTGTAAGCACTTTGTTCTTGCGCAACATGGTGGAACACACTATGATCTATCCACTGTCGAATTTGTGCGACAGTTTTTCTATTCATTTTTGTCCATTCTTCATCCGTCTTTTTACCCGGTTTCACGCCATTATTATCAAGAGGATCGGCTAAATCCCTCAAATTTAGCAAATCCTCCATCCGAGGCTTCCACATATTGTAATTTGTGGAAGTGAGCGCAATCATGGTGTCCGATGATGATTTATCCATAATAAAACGCTCAAAATATCTCGTACCTTATTTTCGGAGCCGAATTTGGACAAACGGAGCTCACCGTTGGATCCGGAATGGCCGAAAATGGTAGGAACCAGTCTGACCTTGTCCAAAACCGGTCTGCAAATGGGTGAACCGGCCTCCACAACTTCGAACCGGTTCGGTCCGGTTCAAGCAGCAAACCAGTGGGCAGACTAGCAGGCGGATGACGTGGCAACAGCTGGACTGCGCTGGCGCTGACGTGGCGCCACATGGCGCTGACGCGGCACCCAGAGGATGGCTTACACGGATGACGTGGCGGCTGACATGGCGCTGACGCGGCGCTGACGTGGCGGCTGACGTGGCTCGTCTTCTTCCTCTGGACTGCGTGATGATGCAATGATGACGCAGGCAGCTTTCCGACGCGTTTGGGCGGCGCGTACGGCCTCTTCTGGTGGCCAAAAAATTCCCCAAAAATACCAGATTTCTCGTCTCAACGAGACGAATCTAACGGTATGATCAGATCGTGATTCCGAGCAACTTGAAAAATCACGATTTTCTAACCTGTAGAAATTTATCTGAAAATGAGAAAACAGTGTATGAAAACTCAACCTCGCTCTGATACCACTTGTTGGGATTGGAAAATTCTTCTATTCAATATCAAGAACAGAATTACAATAGGAGGAGCAAACTCTCACATTCAACTATTACAAAAAACCAATCCTCACCAATACACTTCTACTCTAAGTGTATTTCACTCTTCACACACTTTTCTCACTTTCTAAACTGATGATATGAACAACAATACACTCCCTATTTATAGGTGTATATGGGAGACATGAGGAAGTTGCATCCAAGCTTGCATTCCCATTGCTATGGAGTTTCCTAGCTATCTCCAAGAAATCTCTTCCCATGTTCATTTGTTGGATAGCTCCTTCCTAGAAGGTGTGAGATGCCTCTTGGCAACTTCCAAGAAAGAAGGTGGAAGTTCCTTACAGCATTGACTTGAACAAGGGTGGTGTAGTGGTTATCTCCATGAGCAGAGATGGATGAACTGGAAAAAAGATAGAGGTAGAAGGAATTTTCTACAAGGCTCTTGATACCATGTAAACTATGTCTAATGATATTCTCATTAATTGGAAAGTATGAATCACATATGTGTTTTAACTTTTAAGTACAAGCAGCAGAGCCCAAGTATAATTCTATCTATATTTAGTTATACGAGATATTCATGGGTAGATACATTGAGTTAATGAATAAGATAAATAAAAGAGTAATTAGCTAATACGTAGTATATATCCTTTCAAGGATGACAAATTTGCTATTTGGATACATATGATAATTGGGCTTCGCTGAGAAGGCTGGATAAAAGAAGCAAAAGATATGCTCAAATACTTTCTGTTGGAGTCCCTCTCAAGATGGTCAGTTCTCTCTGCATTCTGCGGTTCTAAGGTTCTGTCTATGATGAATGTAGAAGCTCTGGCAATTCTATCGTGTGACACCGCACCCGAACGTCCATGGAAATCCAAGTTAAAATTCAAAGTCTATGTATTGAATTTCCAATTACCAAACGATTGTAAAACAATTAATGTTTTACGTAGTGCATGATTGATTATTTTAATGTTCGAGCTTGTATATTAGTGATGGGCTTTCAAATATTTTTTTGGGCCATCATATTAATATATGATCCCAACATTATGTAAATAATGATGCATAACCTTCCGATACAAACTAAGGGAGGTCGGGCAGCCCAAACATTATTTTGGGCCTAATCTGCTAAAAATAGTAAGTATTCAAGAATGGCGTCCTAGGCCCATTCGAGGGTGACCCACACGGCTTGTAGCCCAAGAATATAAATACTAATGTAATAAATAAGTGATAGAGTGATTGGAGAAGAATGCAAACTCTTATATATGTCCAATCTTTGACCTTATTGAACTAAATAATGGGAGTAGGGTTTTCTTCTATATTCTTTCAGCATGTAAATTATTGGGATGATCTACACATATTGGAGATCAATAATATGATGTAGGAGGTTGACTTGTTCTAAATAAATTAGAATGAGCACAAAAGACATTTCATGACAAAGAAAAAAAACAATAGGACTCATCTTTCCATTTTTGGAAGTATTGGTAGATATTTTGGACCCCAAATGGATTGGGATCAATTGGGAACCATCCCACATGACTTGAGTACCTGCAAGACAAATAAATTCATGTTAGATGTGGGGAGAGGCGGCCATATTTTGACTTAAGGGCTGCACATGACAAAAGAGATCAAAAGTGAGACCCACCCGTGTCTAAAAATATCTCATGAAGACCATACCAATTCAGTTCACTCCACACAACTTATCCAACCTTATTTAAAGGTCTTAGACACCCCTACAAGCCCCTCATTCGGACTCCCAAGGATAAGAGAGAAGGAGAGAGCCATACAACCAAGAAAGCCTAGTTAGTTAAATACGGTACGGGAATTAAACGAGGTTTAATACGTACGCGTTTTATTCGGTAACATGAATGAAAAAAACGGTCAAAAATTCGTTGAAAAAAACGTTGACTTTTAAAAAACGTGTAAATACGTATACGTGTATAATACGTTATCTATAACAAAAATTCGGACGAAAAATACGGGTATTATTTTGAACATTTAAATGATATATTTCATAAAATAACATATATAGTAAAAAAAAAGAAATAAAAGTATACACATATTCAAGTAGCAAATCTCATTACTACATACAAGAATAGTTCGTAATTGCACAAGTCGATGATAAAAATAAAAACAGTAATTAAGTCCAAGACATAATTTTGAAAAATAATGTCAAAAAATCATTATCTTTATATGATTATCAAATAACACTCAAGTTAAACTCATCATTTTCATTAAGATGACAGATGACATATGACAAAAGTTGTCTGATTGCTACACTTATTATTGTTTGTGTAAAAGTTTATGCTAAAAACGGTAGGTTTAGAAAAATCTTAATTTTGATATGCTAGCTTGAAAAAACATCAGAAATCTTGTAGTATATTACTACGTAAGTTTTAGTATTTCAGGATGCTAGCTTTAGCCCTTTGTTAGTAATATACGGTTCGTGAATAATACAATAATACGTACGTTCGTGTATAATATGATACAATTATATAAAATACGGCTAAATATATGTTTCATTAAGAAAGCAAAAGAAAGAGGAAGCTGCCCGCAGGTTCATTTTCCAGTGCGTAGGGTTGCTTGTTTGGTTCATATCTCGAGTTTTACTAATTCAAATCAGGCGTGTGAGGTACCTGCGGATAGCTCTCAAGATAAGGAATCCGTCGAGGTCTGGTTGGAATCAAACGGAGTAGTGTAAGGCTTCCAAACCATCCGAACAAAACACAACCTCGCAGAAACGGATTTGCCTCTTTATAGTAAGTTTGAACCCAAAACATTCATTTTCATTTCCCATATGATATGAACGGTTTGTGGAACTATTATACACTATTCCAAGTGTATAATATGTCCTTATAAGATTATTTTATTGATGTAAAGGTTAGATACTAACCTAGAGCAATCCTTGGAAAAACTAGGAAACGAGTTCGCCGGAAAACACCCATTCTAGGGGCTGTTTTCGTATCAACGGTTAGGGGTTGAACTAGCACATTGAGGAGGCTGTTTAACACTCATTTCTAAGTAAGGAAACAATTCTTGATCCACCTTGACCGAAACTTTGACCATTGAATCAAGAAGGAAAGGTTTAAAGCTCAATTAAGGTGAGGACCGACATCTAGTTGCTTACAACTTGTAGGTTATGCATGAGATTACTGGTGTGCACTTTGTCGTGTATGCACTCAAAATAATAATCAATACAACACTAATACGTAGTATAGTGTAGTAAGGTTCGTATCCATAGGGAAAGAAATACTTCTCTTTTTATAAAACTGGAAATAAGTAACAAGGGTTTTTTTTAGATTGGTTGATGAACTTAAATTATATTTAAATACAAAGATGAACGACTTGTGTGGTTTAATTAATGAGAAGGAGACTTGGCTTTGCTTTTATCCACTTAATGAAATTTTCGTCGATCCCGGTTATATCTTTAACTATCTTCCTCTCGAATACTCAATCGAGGAGTATATCCAATTCATCGAGGGTAGTTATTAATAACGAGACGCGTTCATTAATAAAACTTACTACCGAGTCAATAAAAAACACGCGCCGTATATTCACTCAATAGTAGCAATAAAATCAAGATGAAAACGACCGAGATTGATAACCTCAACACAAGCGGTTTATCGGTTTAATCAATATAATTAATTCCCCTTCGGTTATTAACCATGAGACGCATGCATTAACAACCCAAGTTTACTACCGTGAAAGGACCGAATTAATAACAAGCGTATTAATCGACCGATTCTAGTATTAATTAATATATGAAACAAAACTAGCTGATCCTTTAAGTAATAATGCTCAAAATATTAATATGAAATAGGAATAGGAATTAATTAATATTCAAGGAAGAAGATTAAAGAAAATAACCCACAACTTACAATTCGTTAAGCTTCAAAGTAGCAAAACCAAGATGGAATGGTTTAGCTCCTCATTTGGGGACTAAACATGATAGAAAATATAAAGAAAACACTAATCTAAACTGAGCTACAGAGTATATGTGAATTGGTGATTTTATTGGGATGGAAAGGAGTGTATTTATAGGCTTTTGGGAGCTGCAGGGTCTGATACCCGACTGGGTATATAGGATACCTGACCGGGTATCTTAGGAAATTGCCCAGAAAGTCACTTTTCTGGGCATACCCGATCGGGTATGTGACAAATCTTCACGAAAATTCGCTCCCACGATCATTTGTTCCCGGATTTGATTTGGACAATCGAATCAATCAAATACCCGATCGGGTATAGGCAATACCCGACCGGGTACATGAATATTTTTTCCAAATCGAAATCTTTCTTTCCTTCTTGCACTTTCCTTGATCTTTTAAGGTCCAATCTTGATCCATTGGATGATCTTTGACCTGTTTAGCTTAGAATAATCCGAATCTAAACAAATTACAAATAAAAATGAAAATAAAGTATTACACCAAAAGTGTGTAATTTCCACAACTAGAACTAATAAAAACTAGTTAAAATACAAACATACAATCGGAAATTACACGAATATCAATTACCTAAATGCTTAAATCATGTTTTTGTGAATTAAGATGCTTGAACATGATATGAATGATAAGTAATGGACTTGATCATGAATTGAAAACATATTGATGAATATGGAGTCATATGAGGTAGAAGTATGCTAATATGGTAAATAGACCTTTCTAACTCATGTGTGAATGTTATGTGTATGTAAATGTACAGTTGCATGATGATGCTTAGCACATGGGAGGCTGCCACATATCTATTGATATGGAGGGGCTACCATTAAGAATAAATGAGTTGTAGGAATAATCTTAATAGTATTGTGATGCTAGTTAAGGATTGTTCGAAATGCCGATAGAATCAAACTTAAGGCTTGGGTTTGTTTGTGATGAACTTGAATAAGATTCAAGTGTCAATTGTGATTTCATGGAGTAGGAGATCTATGGTGTGATTGTATGAAGTAGGAGATCTGTGGTGTGATTGTATGAAGTAGGAGATCCATGGTGTGAATACATGAAGTAAGAGATCTATGATATGGTTGCACGAAGTAGGAGATCTATGATGCGAGTGCATGATGATGTACTCGAGCCGAACTCTAGAAATGAGAATTTATATTAGGGTTGGACCCTATGTATTGTCGTGACAGTTAGTCACGGGGTTTGGGAAATGTTTTGTAATAAACATGGGCCATTGAGCCAACTACTTGACTTTATAAAAAGTAAGTATATATTTTGAAAGGGGTAACTTGGAATTACAGCCTAGACTATATTATCACCCTATTTGAGGGTCTTGTGTGTGAAATACTTGTTGTATATCTATTAGATGTCTGCCACACCAGTACTTTATAGTCGTATAGAGTGATGACCCCTTCGGGGGCGTCCCACCACCATTTCAAGTTGAGACTCGAGCCTGCTACCTGTGCCCGTTGCTCGGGTGATCATTTGGAGAGAAGACGTGGTTCGTTCTTTTCTCCATTCTGTTTTGAACAATATTAAACATGCTCATGGATATTTTATTATAGAGCCTGCACGCTGGTGAATAGCCCCGTGTGGCCATTTTGTTTTAAACAATGTTTCCGCTGCATTGTGAATTACTTATTATGTTTGTTTATGGATGTTAAATGTGTGAATGATATTCAAGACACTTTGTATAATATGGATGTGTCGGACTGCGGTTGACTATTCGTATTGTACGGCGGTTTGTCACGTGTTCGGGTAGGTCCGGGGCGTAACATACCATCTCATTCAAATAAGTACAGCTCCCTATACAAACAATGTCAGTTAAGATTTTCCTCTGGAAGCTTTTTCCTAAAATCTGACCTTTCCTAGATCAATTAAATAGATTTAGGTTGTTTTCAACGTGGAGTTTCTACTAATCATTGCCTCTAGAACGGTTAACTGTGGTAGTGTGGTTGTGCAAAAAGTATTTGGTATCCTCTCATATGACTGTTTTGTATTCGCAGATCATCCTTTTCATGTTCTATTAAGCAATTGACAATTTCTTAGTGGTTGGAGGTTGGAAAATATATAGTTTTACGGATCTCTTTAAACATATTAGCTTAGGTATTTTGGAATGTTTTTTAAAGCAATATGCACAACTAAATTGGATTGATAACCCTGGGCAACTGACTCCTTCCCAAATCACTCATCACATTAAGCACTTCTTGTTTCTTTGGTCATCAAAGATTAGAGGCAGAATTGAAGGTTACTTTTCATGCTATTTTTGGGCCATCAATGCATGCTACTCGAGCTTTGAAATGATAACAGACTCTCAAGCATCAATTAATCTTCTCCACTAGTTTTGTACTTGGAACAACACTCATTTACAATCCATTGTATCTTCCGTACAAAATACAGTTACTCATCTATTAATTAGCAATGGTTTCTCAGTCCATTTCATTTGTACAAGTTCTTTACATCAGTTAAGTCCAGAACCGGCCTGCTGAAAATCATATATACATTTGTGACACAACCTTCCATTATTTTCCAATATATTGTTCCAGAAACAGACCTCTATTCATGTACTAATCGTATCCTGCAGACAATTGATGTTTTATATTAATTTCAATTGCATTACATCACACTAAACATTCAAACCTTGTTCTAAATATTCTTACTAGCACTAATCACACAACTCCATAGCTTACGTAGAGGTTGATGATAACATCAAAGTTATATTTCTTCTAACGCGTTTTTCCCAAAAAAAAATCTTCTGACATGTTAAATTGAAAAGAAAAACAGATTTAATTTGAAGAATAAGCCATTTTTTCAACAATTTTTATTGCAAAAAACCTTAAACCGTTGTTGTCTTTCAAGAAATAATGTGAAAAAGTAATGTCAACACGTATATCAACAAAACTTACTCTAAACTACAACACGTATGTGATCAAAACTTCAAACCATTGTAATTTATTATGACCTTCAACGATTTTATATTATCTTTAAGTTGTAATGTATGATGAAATGGGCTATATGAAGTATCTTACTCGATACGGCAATTCATAGAGTTTTTTTATATTCAAATTTTATGTTAAATAGTTATGAGTCTAAAAGGATGTTCTCCCATCCTTTTTAACCAATATCTTTCCGAGCAGAGAATAACAAACGGAGCACCAAATCACCAAAAGGATTTGAAAAGCAGCCGTCACGGGGCAAAGAAAGCAAAGAAAGAGGACACTTACAATGCAAAGGCCTGAAGGAAGCGTCGAAGTTTTCCCAAAATTCCTGAAGTTTTCACAAATCTCACCCATCCATAACTGGTAAAATCAATGACAATGTATTGAATGAAATAATAATATGGGATATCAATGAGGGAGGAGATGAGCAAAGTGAATCAAGAAACTGAGAAACGGAATGAAAACCTGGACGGTTGGTTACGAAATGATGGAATAGGAGCAGCTGGTGAGGTTAGGCACGGACGGAGCTAGTTGCGTGTTACCAAGGTCAGGAGCTTCTTAGGGACTAAGGAAATGGGGACTATTCACGGTGAAACAGACGCATATGGTACGGATGGGAAGGGGTGAGACGGAATTAAAGGAAAATTAAGTTGCTTTAATGAAGTACAAACATTGTTCTAAAACTCGCTAGGCGCTAATCGGATGGTTGAGGGGCGCCGGACTAGCGCCTAATCGGCCGACTAGACCGATTTTTTGGCCGATTAGGGCGATTAGTCCTCTACAGTGAGGACCGATTAGGCCGACTAAGCCAATTAATCGGTCCGACTAAGCCGATTTTTAGAACATTGAGTATAAATAGTGAAGCACATGGTACCACATGATGATGCTAATGGTTACACCAACATTTTTTTAATCCCTTCAATACCCTAACCATCATTGTCCAGTATAAGATTTTATAAGATATGTGTTCATAAAAGCATTACAATTGTTTACTATTCATTCACTCACTTTGCCAGTCTGCCGCCAAAATTATATGTGCATCTTAACCATTTGTTCTATAATAAATAACTAAAAGCATTACAATTATTTACTATTCATTCACTCTTCTCCCGCTTAAGCTACTTACGCATCTTAACCTTCCATTTATCTCACTCTCCGTTTATATCTTTCCATCTGAGAACCAAGCTCGACATCATATTATCATATGTTTTAAATATGTTTTTCTATTTACATTTTTAGCTTTCTCCTTTGACATCAATCTCCCAAAACTTTCAATATCCTTAATTTCCATTTTCGGCGTCCTCCATATGTCTACCACTTTTCTTTCCTCACTACAAATCTATAACCTATCTACCACTAATTGTTGGCAACTTATCTGTTTTTTTTACTTAATTCAATATGTCTCAATAAGTTTTTATATATTCTAAATAGTGCTTAATTTATTTTATTTTAACCAAGAGGTCAAAGGGAACAATTAAGTTATTTTCTTGGTGCGAGTATTTCACATTTTAGACTAAGTTAATTAAAAAGTTAGACAATTAGTTTTACTTGAACAATTTGGTCACCATATAGATCAAAATAAATGAAAACACGCAAATCATATATCGTTTCTCTTAATCCACTTAGGAAATTACATTTTTGATCCCCAACTCACAAATAACGACCAAACCCGTAAATTTTTTCCTTTATTCTTCTATGTCGTTGTTGTACAAATTGGATCTTGGATTGCACAATCACACCTCTTGATCCATGATTTGTCCGCCCATCCTCATGCTGTTTGGACTGGAGTTCAATTCCGAAGAACTCATTCTCTTACCAAAAACTTATGTCTCCCATAGACCTCTAACATTTCATGCTGCTACACTAACGATTTAGGTGTCCTGATTAATAATTGAGTGAGTTATTTTTAATTCAACTTTTTTAATGTGCTGGATGTACGACATCCCACGCGGAAACATATTTGGATGAATAATTGTCAGCATCAACATTTACCAATACACAGTAGCTCGGTACCCCTTTGTTGATAGCTAAAGTAAAACACGAGGATAACTTTGTTAAAAAATGAAAACACATGACCTTGTCTAAAAACGTCCTCAATCACATGAAGCTTTTTCGTACCTTTTTCTATTATTTTTTATTGTTATAATTTGATTGATTTAATTCTGGCCACTTAGTTGTTGTGCATTCTTTTGTTCATTTTAGCACTTATCTTTTTCAATCATAGAGACCTTGACAAATGTATACAAATAATAAATTGTACTACGTATCACTTATGTTCTTTTTTGATTACATAAGTTTGACTTTTACCTTTGTCAACACACAATATTGACTGTAATTATATTTTATTACGTAGTTGTAAATATCATAAAAGTTAATATTTTGAAAATTCACATTAACAAAAATTTAATACTACATAATATTTTATACATAGTAATTTGATTATATATTTAGTAGAAAATAATGCCCAAAAAAGTATGTAAATAGTACAAAAATTAAAATGCACAACCATTAACACAAATGACGTTTATGATTGTTGCGACGAGTGCGACATCTATTACTATTTTTGGTGCATCGAAAAACGACAGTTATTACTATTGTTGACACATTGATACAAATATCTACTATCATATTGCATCATAACGGGTTGAACAATTTTCACACTTTCATTTTTTGCTTGTTTAACTATAAATTTTTTATGCAAATTAGACTAAAATAATGTTAAAGGGGTTAAATTTTTAAAACCTATAAATCATTAAAAAGCATTTCGTTCTGCGCAATTTTTTTGTTTTATTTTCTTAATTAATCCTTTTAATTAATGTTTTGGATGGAAACTGATTTCATCTTTTGATGTATGCGAAAGTTCGGGGAAACACAATGGCGGGAAAGCGTTAGTTTTTTTCCCTTAAACGAAAATTTTAAATCAAATTTCCCTCACATAATAATTACCGAATTACTCGCATATACGGGGTATATATATTCCCGAACTACCCCACCCCACACACTGAACAGTCTGGATACTCGGGTTCACCACCTCCACAGTTCCACGACTTCCACCTTCATTTTCCTCGAGTCCAACATGGGGATCCGGAATCAAAAGCACAGCGAGCGGTGTTCGAGCTCTTCTTCCGGAACGAGCTTGAAGAGGAAGAGAGAAGAAGGTTTAGAGGAAGATCCGTCAACGACCGACTCTCCATCTGCCGAAGACTCTCTCCAAGACCTTGTCCTAGAGGTCCGCGCTCAGGTGGAGATTCTCGAATCGTCTCTCTCTAGAGCGGAGTTGGATCGATCCTCCTCCACGCGAGCCATTCACGTCCTCTCAGAGCTAGCTAAGAACGGTAATTCGTAACACTCGGCTCGTGTTAATTTTAAATGGATCGAGTTGTCAGTGAATATGCAGATGTGTTCTGATTCGAATTTTATACCTGCGCAGAGGATTTTGTGAACGTGATAGTGGACTGTGGCGCAGTTCCGGTTCTGGTGCGGAACCTTAAGCTGCAGGAGCCGGTTCCAGGCAGAGAAAGAGACTCCGGTTCGATTCAGCATGCGCATGAGGTTGAGAGAGGAAGTGCCCTCACACTTGGGCTTCTTTCCATAAAGGTTATTATCGAACTCTAATGATCTATTGTTCCCTACTATTTTTAGCCATAGTTGGTTATCTTTCCTCTGGGCCGGATGGGCATCTTGGAGGTCGTCCAACTCCTTATATACTATCATTTTCAAAATTTTGAGTATATAACTTATTGTTGCATGTTGAACTTGCTGTTGCCTGTTGCTCCTGGGAGGTTATGAAATGAATTCAATGGTTTGGCTGAGCACAGAAAATATTTATGACCCAGGGTCTACAGAAATTAGACTTTATATAATAAAACAGATATATTAAAAGTATGAGCAATTAACAAATAGTTGTGAAAATATTATCGTTTTTAAAAAATAAATGGACAAGAATATGAAATACTCTGTACTCCATTTCTATTGTTATTAAACAGTTTAATAGAGTTGCAATTTTTCTGACAATCTTCAATGCAATTAACATGTTGTGGTAGTCTACTCTCCCCAAATTATCAGTTTCAAAGGCTATACTGCTAATTCATTAACCCTTCCTGGTAACACTGTATAACCCAAACAGGTTTCACCAGCTTCAAATGAAAAAGAACTAACCCGATAATCTGAATAAGAGACCACAATTCGTAAAACAACATCGGAATCAAAAACCAAAACTAAAAAAAGTTTGAAACATGTTTGGCTGATAAGTCGTTTTGGCACTCAATTTGGCGAAATCAGTGAAGAAGGCTATAGCATAGTCAGCTGTTAATTAACTCAATTTGGTGTAATTAGTGAAGAAGGATATGGCTTAATCAGTGGCTCAGTGTAATTAGGGACAACACAAAGTTTTTCTGGTATAAATGTATATTTGAATATATGGTGCAATGTTGCAAGTAAATATGGAACTGTCTAACCAAAGAAGCTATAATATTATGTAATCAAACTAACAAAGAAGCCTGACGATACCTAAGCCAATGAGTAAATAACATGTGGAGTTAATTTGAGAAGATAAGGGTCAATGGACCTTCAATAATCTTCTTTGTTTAGATTATCTTATACTTTCTACTTTATATTGTATATGTATATATACACTATATGTATTCAAAATGTTTGGGCCTTATGAATCTATAATCCCAGCAGTTAGCGCCATATCATGTTTTGCACGCCTATTGACGGCCCTTGGTTTGGTGAACGATCCCTACTATGTTCTCTAATTCTCAAGTAACATGTCTGTATAATTGCTTCCTAAATTTGTTTAATATTAGGATAGCACAGTAAGACTCTAAGATGTTGATAGTTGATGATTCCTAGAGGATTAACATATTCACTTTAATATTCTTTAAGCATTTAATTAAGATACTGATTAATTCATTTGTGATAGCATATTAACATTGATTATTTGTGGAGCCATCATAAATTTGTAGTAAAATTTTGCTGGCCTTGCTCTGAAGTATTGATATTTCTAACACTTTAATTGTTACCATAACATTACTACCTTGGGGTGTACTGTATTACAACATTTTCAAAACACACCCACTCAACCTCCAAAGTTATTGCATGAACTTGGTATGTTATATTATTATACATTGCATAAAGGTTCTACCCAACATAAAGTTTGTATTAATCTATTATTTCCTAACATCATTGTTGAATGTACACTTAATGAACTTTGTGTACAATTAAAGTTGTTTGGTCAATTGAATTTCTCATATGATCCTATGTCTAACAGTCAGAGTATCAACAACTCATTGTTGATGCTGGAGCCCTGCCACATCTTGTGAATCTTCTAAAGCAGCATAAACACAGCCAAAACTCTCGAGCTTTAAGTGGTGTTATCAGGAGAGCAGCTGATGCAATTACGAACCTTGCTCATGAGAATAGCAACATCAAATCCTGTGTTAGGTATTGTAAGATCTGGAATGCTTTAGTTTTATACCAAGTAAATCAGTAATCTTTACGAGACCTTCTATATCCAGGGTAGAAGGTGGCATCCCTCCTCTTGTTGAATTACTTGAGTTTGCCGATCCAAAGGTGCAAAGAGCAGCTGCAGGCGCCTTGAGGACACTGGCATTCAAAAATGATGACAATAAGAATCAGGTTTAGTTCTCTTTCAAGTTAATGATCTTTATTGGAATTTTATTTTTTATTTTTGCTAAGGATACATGCGAATTGCTTACAGATAGTAGAATGCAATGCCCTGCCCACTCTTATTCTAATGCTTCGCTCTGAAGATTCTGCAATTCACTACGAAGCGGTCAGGCATTTTTATTAACTTGTATTTAATTTATGCATCTTTATCTATTTAAAATTTTAGGTAACTGTTTCCTATCTTTGTATCCTCTAGAACTAATAATTCTTGTCTGTAGGTTGGTGTAATTGGGAATTTGGTACATTCTTCACCTAGCATTAAGAAGGAAGTTCTAGCATCTGGAGCTTTACAACCTGTAATTGGATTACTTAGGTATAGTTATTTCATAAATTTTGAGGTTACTTTAAGTGACTTGACCTTTTCCACTGCTGCAGTCAAATAAACCCAAATTTCTAAGGGGGTATTGTTGATTTTTTTTTTCATTTTTTTTTGTTTTTATTCTACAGCTCTTCATGTTCAGAAAGCCAAAGAGAAGCTGCTTTGCTGCTTGGGCAATTTGCTGCAACAGATTCTGACTGTAAGGTTGATTACAGCGATCCTTGGTTCATTCATAAAAGTTCATATTGACTATTGAGTTAGTGTGTTTCAATTGTTAACATATGTACCTGATATTGGTAATTGGTATAATCTTCAGGTTCACATTGTCCAAAGAGGTGCTGTACCACCCCTGGTTCAGATGCTTCAGTCTACAGATCCTCAATTGAGAGAAATGTCCGCTTTTGCACTTGGAAGGCTGGCACAGGTAATTTTCACGTGTGATACTTTTTATATCATGTATGGTGTATCTCCAGTGTGAGCAATCTATATGCCGCTCCCTTTGAAAGTATGCTATGGAATATGGACACACTACAAAGATGCATTTTGTGTTATGTCTTTGTTTAGCTAGAGAACTCTCCCTCTAACACTTCGCAGAGGATGCTCATATGCACTATATCACCTAGCTATTACAATGCTTCATCCAATCCAACATTTTCTATTTCATGAGAATCAAACAATCATCAGTTCTCTATGAAGCATAGAAACCCTCGGGAGAGAGTATGTTTCCATTTAAGAAAATCTACTGGAATTCTTTAAAAAGCCCAAGTATTTTTTTTCTATTAAAAGATGGAGTTTTCTGTTCTATGTTTCCCCATGTTTTCCACATTTACGTGCAATGTAGCCAATTATTGATATATTTGTCTATACAGAGGACAGTTGATTTATCTGTAACTGACTAACTGTGTCACATCTCTTCATTTAAATGAGCTAAACTAATTTTATCTTAAGTTGTTGACTAAGAGTTATTTTATCATTTTAAGGATTCACACAATCAAGCTGGTATTGCTCATAGCGGTGCTATTCCGCCTTTAATGAGGCTTCTTGATTCAAAAAATGGATCTCTGCAACATAATTCTGCATTTGCTCTTTATGGTCTTGCAGATAATGAGGTAGTTTTCTTTTCTCTGTTTAATCATACCATGAATGCTATAATTTCGTTTCTTATCTCTCTTTATGCTTGACTTATTTCTTTTTTGAAGGATAATGTTGCAGAAATGATAAAAGTTGGAGGAGTTCAAAAACTTCAAGATGGAGAATTCATTGTTCAGGTATCATTTTTCATCCGAATTTGTTGCGCTTTCATTTGCATATCAGTATGTTTGCTGATGGTTTATTTCAATTGCTACATAATCTTACTGTACTAGATCCAGTAATTAGCCCTAATCTGGTTTTGCTAGTTGTCTAAGTTATGATATATGTTTTCTTCTTTGTTTTGTTATCCCTCTTCATAGTATTCAGTTCTGTTTCAATCTGCTTAATTAATAGCAAATACAGTACGGTGTATATGAATCTGTTCTCTGAATTTGTCCTTGCTAGGTGCCAATTTGCATCGTCAATTGGATTATATGGTTGTTTATTTTTAGCTGGCATATGCCAGAACAGTCAATTTCTTGGTAGACTATCATACATACATTTTTTTATTTCCATGAACCAACAAGAGTTTTCTTCAAACCAAAATATGTAAAATGTAATATACTTCTAAATCTCTAGTTTAAAGTTATAAACTTATAATACTCTCTACCCTTTGGGATTTTCCTTCCATATGTTTGAGAGCTTGAATTTGATAATTTACTTTGCAGCCAACAAGAGATTGTGTAACTAAGACACTGAAAAAATTAGAGGAGAAGATTAATGGCCGAGTAAGTTCAACTCCTTGAATCTTAACTATGCCCTTCTATTTATACACGGGTTACATAATTTTTTTGAGACTTCAGTGCTTCACTAATGACTATGTGAGACACGATACACACTCTATGTGACTAAGAAGTCATTCATATCTTTCCTCTTTTCCAGGTATTGAGCCATTTGTTATATCTGATGTCTGTCGGGGAGAAGATTGTCCAAAGAAGAATTGCCTTGGCCCTTGCTCACTTTTGTTCCCCAGAGGACCAAAAGACAGTTTTCATTGACAATGATGGTAAATTTTAAGTGTTGTATACATTGAATGGGCTTGATGTAATAACTTTCTCTAAATATCTTGCATAGGCCTGAAAATGCTTTCTTCTTCTTTTGACATGCTTTATAGGATTGGAATTGCTTTTAGAGCTTGTGGAATCCACAAGTGTGAAGCACCAACAGGATGCTGCTACTGCTCTGTGCAAAATAGCTGATAAAGCCAGCTCACTTTTCCCCATTGATGCAGCCCCTCCCTCTCCAGTACCTCAAGTCTGTTTCCAACTCCTTAACATTAAAAGTTTTACTTATGTGCTCTGTATGTACTATAGTATTATAAAGCTATTCTTTGAAGTCGTGTCATTACTTTCTTCCCAATAATCTATTCCCGTGGATTCCTAATAATGTGTTGATGTTTGTGGTTATTTATGCAGGTGTACCTTGGCGAGCAGTATGTAAATAATCCAACGCTCTCAGATGTGACTTTTTTAGTTGAAGGTATAAAGCTATTCCATTGTGAAACATCTTTTTGATATGCTATACTTAAGTTATTTCTAATGACAAATATATTACTTTAATAATAGTCATGGACAAAAATTGACCACTTAATGCAAAGTGACTACATTTGATCAGAGGAGTCACCATTTTGTTATATTTTTGTATCACGTTCAAGTAGTTTATTTTCCTAAATTTGCTGGGTGGAAAGAAAGTGAAGATGACACGATTAAACTAACCATATTCTTCCCCCATCTCTAATAATATTTTGTAGTGAAATACTCTTTTCCCCATGAGTAGTATGGAGTACAACATTAATTTCTTACTTTCTCTACCATATCTTTAATGGGCTTATATTTGGAAAGTCAATGCAAAAAATTATCATACCCAAAAAGGCAAAAACCTGTGAAGTCAAACTATTAAATCAGGGCCAGAGGAAGTAATTTCTCTCTAGTCTAAGAATACTAAATTGAGATAAAATAGTAAAAAAAACTCACCCCCTCCCTCTCATCCACAGTCACCCAACCAAATAAGCCCTTGGCTCAAATGTTTGTCTTTCGTGCTTTGATCAGGGAAACGCTTCTATGCCCACCGAATTTGCCTGCTTGCTTCTTCAGATGCATTTCGAGCAATGTTTGATGGTGGTTATAGGGTAATTAAGATATATTTACTTTTCCCCTTTATGCTTTGTTCCCAGTTACTCCTATATGTGTTTATATAATCAGTTTTGTTGACTTATTGCAGGAGAAGGATGCAAAGGACATTGAGATCCCAAATATTAAATGGAATGTTTTTGAGTTGATGATGAGGTTATACATCTACCCATACAATTGCCAATGCAGTAACTGTGAACAATTGAACATTCTAGTGGTTTTAATTTTGTTCATTTTTTTATGGCAGGTATGTGTATACAGGATCAGTTGCGGTTAATCTGGAAATTGCTCACGATCTTCTGAGGGCTTCAGATCAGTATCTTCTGGAGGGACTTAAACGTCTATGCGAGTATGCAATTGCTCAGGTGGGTTATTATTGCCTTTTTCTTTTTTCGTTCTCTTTTCTGTATGAGTCTTGTTATTCTGACAAATTGCTTACTTGAATTAAAGGATATGTCTATGGAGAATATCTCTCTCATGTTTGAGTTGTCGGAGGCTTATAATGCTTCAACCTTGAGAAATGCTTGCATTCTTTTTATACTGGGGAATTTTGACAAGCTAAGTGAAGCGGGCCGGTAAGTTTATCTGATCTTTCTCTTTTGATGTTATTGAATAGAACATGAAAGATATAGAAGAGATAAACCTGAGTTCATTTTATTCCTTGTTATGCAGTTTCTCAGATTTGATTGAGCATGCATTACCAGAGACTCGCAGTTACTTTGTAGAAGCACTTGCCGGACCAATTCAAGCTGACATGCAGCCATAGTTTGTCACCTGGCTTTCATTTTTTTGACCCATTTTTTATCCACAAGAGGAAAGCTGTATAGGGTTAGCTTTTATAGTTATAGTTCTGAAAAGGAATTGGCAGATAGTTTGTCCTGGCTAAATGCTACAATGCATAATTGCATATCCACCCCACACTGGCCTTGGGTTTACATTACCACTCTTGAATGCAAATGTGAATCACTGGTCAGTGTTAAATTTGGCATCTACTGTTAGTTTGATGGACCATTCTGCTCTTTTTCTGAATAGAATAGATTATTTGCACCGCTTTTTACACCACATTTACACAAATCTACCATTTTTGCTCACATTTTTTAGTTTTGCATAAGGTGATGCAAGTATGCAACACGTGCTTTATGCAAAAAAAAGTGCATAAAATACTATTAAGTCTAATAGACGAACAGTATAAATCAGAATAACTTATAATTTGTATAAAATATTTCGATCCCAAATTGTGAAAAACATATGTATATTTTTGTGTTCATTTGTGCCTTTGTGGCATCTACATAAGTACATATGCAGACTCGGAGGGTGAGGGTATGCACTGTGAAACGTTAAAATGAAATGCTTCTTAAGCCTTTGATAAGGATTTGGGCAAATGTGCCAAAAAAAAAACTTAAAAAGAGCAGGGCAGGCACTTTGGTATTTGGACTTATTTCAGTTTCGACTTGGTTTGTTCATATTAGACTTTTTCAAACATAAATTGACCAGAAAGATAACATAATAAGTTAGACATGTTTAATTAGGATTTTTTTTATTTGACTTATTTCAATCCAAGATCTAACCAGACATAAATAGAGCAAAACAGACTTGATTATATCATACTCCCTCCGTCCCAGGGAGAAGTTCCCGGGTTGACTTTCACACATATTAAGGAAATAAAGTTACTGGGGGGTAAATTTTACTGTTTGGCACTGTTTCGACACTGTTTGGCACTGTTTCGACACTGTTTTGCACTGTTTGGCACTGTTTTGATGTAGAATAACTTTCCATTTAGGGAAATGAGAACTTCTTGTTGGGACTGCCAAAAAAGGAAATTGGGAACTTCTCCCTGGGACGGAGGTAGTATCAAATTAAACTTTAGTGATTGTGAAATACTCACAAGCCAAACATCTATCAAACTAAATCAAGTCAGTTCAGAACTTCAGATTAGTCAATACCAGATAGCCATAAACGAATTCGGTCTAATTAAAAACATCTAGCAAATGAAATATAAAAATAAAAAAGTTGAGATTTGAACGAAGCAGAAAAAATAACAAGAATTGCAAGTTTTTTTTATCATCAAAAGAATTACAATTTTGTTACATTAAAAAGAAAGTTATAATTTTTTCGAAATAATAAAAAAATACTCCATACTACGTAAGAAAAGTTAGAACTAGAGCCTGATGTAAATTGGGAGCTTCGGGTTTGCCAGCACCTGCAATTGGTTTTTAGCCACACTTGTAATTTGACGATGCGTCGATGCCATGGTGCTCTAAGTTGTTGAGTTGAGTGAGTGTTTACACTTCGCAGCTTACAGTCTGATGGCTGTACAGTTTTCTTGTGTCTGGATCAATGGTCCCGCTGCGCCATTAACGGGCGCTCGTTACCTTCACTGCGGGAGAAGCTCCTCTCCCTCAGCTCTCTCTGCGGCTGCTTGTGCTTCTTTTCCTTCATCTTCTATCCAGGTAAGACACCTTGTTTCCGGATATACACTCACTGTAGCTAATTCGAAGCAGCGCGAGACCACACACACATATATACTGTTTGTTCGCAGATTTCTGGATTACCACTGATAGTCTGATAACCTGTAACTTTCAAAGAAGTAAAATTGATAATTCGCTTGGGAGATCTGCAAGAGAAATTGGAAATAATTCATTTGTTTGAAAATTTTAGTTTCAATTTTCAGAAAGTTTTAGAGCGTATTTGGTAACACTGAAATCGGCTGAATAGGTGTATTCTGCTGAAATTTATGAAGTTCTGTCTGAAGTGGCCGTATTTGCAGATTCTTCTGATTTATGAAAAAAATTATATTTAAAATATATTTTATTAATAAAATAAAGGAAAAATTATATGAAAAATAGCTAAAATCACCATATAAACTTCCGCCAATACAGCCAGAAAAGTAACTCCAATTGACCAATAAAAGTTTCGTGTTTGATTAAAAAGTTGGTTGAACAGAGTACACCAAAGGGGTTCTTAATGTTTGGGTTAAAAGTGCCGCTATATATCATTCTCTCTTGGGGGTATATAGATTTCTTGTGTCCCTGGAACCATCTGGAAATTATTGCATTCGTTCTTACTTTTTGGAGGACAAGATTGAAAGTTTGAAGCTGCACATTATTCAGTACTGCCGTTCTGTAAACTCATATAGTAGCCCATTTTTTGATTTTCTGCTCGAATTTTGAGCATTGTTTTCTTCTGAATTTTGCAGATTGTTGGTGGAAAAACAAACGGAGTTCTCTTAAATGAGAGCTCAAAACTTTGCGCTACTTCAGAGGGATGCCAAAAAAAGTATGATTGGAATGATATGGAGACCGAACTCTATTACTGGACAAAACAATTAAGACCAGTTCAGGTATGTATATTAGGTTCTTGATTTCATCCGTTCCCTTTCTAAGGGTGGAAGATTGTGGTTTGTTATTAGTTCGTTGCTCAGTATTTTCATAGAAACATACAGATAGATATTTGACACTGTTAAGCTGTTTTTAAAAAAACTGAAAAGAGATTATCTGTATTTATTTCCTACACAAACTGAGGCTTCTATACATATAGTGGTATCCTGGTCATATTGCAAAAACTGAGAAAGAGCTCAAGGAACAGCTGAAACTGATGGATGTTGTTATAGAGGTTCGAGATGCAAGAATTCCAATGTCAACAACCCATCCACAGGTTTATTTGTCGTTTTGGATCATCTTGATACACCAGAGTCTCCATCTATTGACAAGATATTCTTGAACAGATGGATTCATGGATAGGTAATAAAAAACACATTTTAGTTCTCAACCGGGAGGACATGATATCCAAGGCTGATCGGAATGCTTGGGCTGCTTATTTCGCAAGTCAAGGAATAAAAGTTGTGTTCTCCAACGGACAACTTGGAGTGGTAGGTATAATACCTTAATGACTTGCACAGGCTAGACCCCGCACCCTTCTAATTAAAGTAAGAAGCTCGAAAAATAAAGAATATGAATATACTTTTTATTGAGAAGAAAGGAAGACTGCACTTGTGTCCATTATCCTTAAAATTTGTGTCTAATATATACGGGAGAGGGGGAATAATGCCTTTATTGACCATTTTGGGAGAGTGAGAATAGTGCCTTCATTCATTTTGCTAATTACTTGAGCATTGGACGGAGTAAGATGTTTTTGGTTCTGAACTGCAGGGCACCATGAAACTATGTCGCCTGGCAAAAACATTAGCTGATAGTGTGAACATAAAGCGCCGGGCGAAAGGGTTACTTCCTCGTCCAGTAAGTTTATTCTTTACTCTCAATACCTTCTCTCAATAATTGATTCAGCTTTGAAGCTTGGTTATAATAGTGGCTATTTACTTAGTTGCATTGAATTACTAAATATTGATAATAATAAAACCTACAATAAAAATATGGATTTTATCCTAATTGATGCTCATAGGTTCGAGCAGGAATTGTTGGGTATCCAAATGTTGGTAAATCATCTTTAATCAATCGTTTACTGAAGCGTAGGATGTGTCCTGCTGCTCCAAGACCAGGTGTTACTCGAGAACTGAAGTATGCCCCATCATATTTTTTATACTCTGATTTTTTAAGAGAATGAAACTCATTTAACATTCTTTTGTATTTCGCAAAATTATCAATACAAGGTATGCAATAGCGTATGAGTTAGAAACTGGTTTTCAACTTGTAAGCTGTAATACTTTACTTTCTTATAAATTGAAATTTGAGTAACACTCCCTCTACCTCATAGAGACAGTAAGATGCATTCTGGTTTTGCACACTTTTTGAGGAATTAAGGTGGTGTTGGTTAGTTTACAAGTGTACCCTTTAGGATGAAGAAGAAAATAAAAGTTGAACTTACCTAATAAAGGGTTGGGGTGGTAGATTAAAGAGTAAATTACAAAAAGTAAAAAGTTATTGGTTTCCAAATTAGGGAAATGAAGATTATTTTGTATTGACTAAAAAGGGAAGTTGATCCTACAAAATTTAATACAGGGACTCAGGGAGTACTTGATAATTTCCTCTTAATGAGTATAACCTGCTAAGCTATTAACATAAGTGCACAAAACTGGTAAAATAAGAAACTATTGTGTATCTTGGGCTAGAGGAGGTATGATTGTAGGCATGTGGAGAACAATGTAACTGGTGCATGGATTTAACATTACAAAATTATGAGCATTTGTACTAAGATGCCAGATAAAATTTACCTTCTATGAACCAATTTAATTGTCAAATAAATGAAAAATGATTGGTATTTTTGTATAATTTAGAGATTTTATAAATTTACTTGCATATTCAATCATAATAATAAGAAAAGTAATTTCTAAATTGTTAATTTTGTTCACAAAAGGGGTTCTGCGCATTATTAATTATAACACAGGGGGTTTTGACGCATTTTTTCAAATCACAAGGAGGTAATGCGCCAAATTTCTATATCACAGGAGGGTTAGGTGCATCAAACCCTAAAAGTTAGTGTCATTTGATCAAACTAGAACATTTTTTTTGGAACGGAAGGAGTACTCCTATTCCCCATGGCATCCAAATGAAATCTCACTATTATATTTTCGTTCTCACGCCTTGACAAATCTCCTCTTTGAACAGGTGGGTCCGTTTTGGGAAAGATTTAGAGTTACTGGATTCTCCTGGGATAATTCCGATGAGAATTACTGACCAGACATCGGCAATAAAGCTTGCCATATGCGATGATATTGGGGAAAGATCCTATGATGTAGCAGATGTTGCTGCTATTCTAGTACAAATGTTGTCAAGCCATCCTACATTAGGTGTGCTTCTTTTCCTTTTTGAGTTCTATTCATTTCGCATAATATAACTACAGATTGGTTAATACTCCGTATGAACTATTAAGAATTTATCCCACATAAATTGGTTTATTTATGATAAAGTCTGGAAAATCGTATTTATGAGGCTAATAACACAAATGGAACAATAAGTAGTGGTATTGATGCTTTTTAGTACCCCACCTATTAGAGGAAGCAAACTAGTACCTTAAGAGTACTATCGTATTTGATAGTGCCATTTGAAATTAGGGCCAAAATTGTCAGACACAACAGTCTAAATTTCTCATACATTCCCAAAAAATTATATGTAATTAATTAATTAATTAATTAATTAATCAACTTATCAAATCACATACGGAGTTTTAACTATTATCAAACTCAGACCCAGATTAGTCCGACCAATTGAGAAAAAAACCAAACATGTTGCTAGCCTAGTCATTGCCATAGATCAGAGTTGCATTCGACAGTGATGACCTCATCAACTCAGAAAATTATCAAGTACACATTTCAAATTCACATGGAACTGAGGAATCAGACTATCAGGTCTGGCCGGAAATTCAAAAGGCAGTATCATGATAGAACTGAATGCATTTAAGAACTGAATACAATAGTTGAGATATTATATTGCTTTAAAATTAGTAGTTGTTGTACCATTTATACATTTACCGCTTATTTATGATCATTCAATATGATGAAAAAGTTCGGCATTAAATATCTCACCTTAGATGCATTATTGTTTGGTGCAGAGCGTGGTTAAGTCACTCTATATCGTGTAAATGAAAAGATAAAAGCAACATATGATGTGTCACATCAGGTCTGATAAGTTAACGTTTTTTGATGGATCTCATAAACAATCAAATGAATGGTAAAATTGATCTCTTCTAAGTTCTAACACACATATTTAGCTTATTCCCACGTTGTATAGGTTGACCTTTTAGAGGTTGCATGCAATGTTGCATACCCGAGTCCTAATACAGGAAATAGCATAAATTTGCTATTTAAAAACAAGTCCTAATTCAACCTATTTTTTAATATTTCTGGCATCTCTTACATTTCTTATCGCAGGCAACAAAGTTAGGGACCGCTACAAAATGGAGATTGATGGTCACTGTGGTAAACTGTAAGCTTTCTTTGCTTTTGGGCATTTAAAATAGTGGAATTGTCTGTGCATAATCACAGTCTGCACCGTTTTTCTCATTCTCTATCCCAGCTAAGAGTAGTGCAATATGGCTGTTTTTTTGGTTTGCAGATTCGTGCAGGAACTTGCGGTTCAATTATTCAATGGAGACAAGCACCAAGCCTCATTCCGTATATTGTCAGATTTCAGAAAGGGGAAGTTCGGGTGGGTATCCCTAGAGAGACCACCACGGTAGGAATATGGTGGTGCCTTGTTCATGTTTGATTATCCATTAATTTTGTACAGAACCCGTTTTGTACGGCAAGTTTTGCAAGAGGGTTGGTTTAGGAAAAAAAAAAGTCTTCCAAGCAGCTTTTGCATAGTTCAAGACAACATTTCCTCCTTAATGTTCTGCCTCCCAAATGATCTTACTTCTTCGTTCCGAGAAGCTATATAGGACCATCACAAATTTGCAATTTCCCTCTTCATTTGTATCCTAGCTAGGGGTGGACCGGGCCCAGGTGGGGACTGGTCCGGTGAAATTTTTTGGGCATGAGGCCCCGTACCGGCCCGGGTTGGGTTGGGTCTTGTATATTTTTTTTTACGTTTTCCTTATTTGTTTCTACCCCCCCCCCCCCACACCCCCAAACCACCCATCCCAACCCGCCTACCACCCGACCCATTCGAAAACAAAAAACATTTTGGGCCCAGACCGGTCCCGGACCGGCCGGGCCGGTTCCAAGAGGGCTCTAGCCCGTTACCCGCCCCAAAACCCCTCTCAGGTCGGGCCCAAGGCCTGGTTCCGGTCCCGGTCAACCGGTTCGGGCCGGTTCTGGTCCCGGTCAACCCAGGCCCGGTCCATCCCTAATCCTAGCGTCCTTTTACCCAAGCTTCGAAGTTGTCCTCTCGCCATTCGCGAGACACTCATCACCCCAGCGCATTAGTCTAGAGCATGGTCAAAATCTTCTCCCCACACAATCTACAAAGAGACTTTATATTGACTCCATGCTTCTGAAAGTTCTCCGTCATTGGTAGACAACTAGACATCCATTCATGAACCGTCATAAAAAAAATACTTAACTTAGGAGGTACTCATAAACTCCACATATGGGTCCAACCATCCCGTCCAAGGTTCCACAATCTTCGAACACCGATGACAACACACAACCCCCTTCTTTACCCATTCCACCAGTAGGAATCCTGCCTATTACCCAAACTGATAGGTATATTCAAGATCTTCTTTGCATCATCTAGTGAGAAAATCAAAGCTTCATCTAAATTATTACCATTTCACGTTCATGTCTCGTATACCTTCTGGCTTTGATGACTGAATCTCCCCGATTAAGTTTCCGAGAACCACACATCTGTCCAAACTTGGACTTCCACCACTCTCATTGTCACCATTAAGTTTCCTTTGCCATATGAATGATGGATTAGCCCCTAATTGTGCTCCCAAGAAAGACTTATTTGAGAAATGTCAGACTTGTTATACTAGTGTCACTTATTCTAGACATACGTCTATTCCAGACAGGTGTCTTCATTGAAATGGTGACTTATTTGGTCAGTTATATTGTTTTGTTTACTCGAATTTTATATATATTGTGACTTATTCGGTCAGACATTTTCTGACTTATTCGTTCAACTTTTATTTAGTTCTCCTTAGGGTGCAGACATCTCCATTTATTAGAGTCTCGTTTCTAACTCTGACTTCTCCATAGCTTGGCTTCTCCATTCATATTTCATAGTCGACACTTGCCTTCATCGCCGATACATGCCCAATTCTTCACTTGTCTTCCTTCTTCACCTCTCATCGCCGACATTACCAGGCCAGCGCTCTGAATCCATTCCATCACAAAAAAAAAGCAGCCATGTGTCACTCCATTAAAACTTCATAGCCACATGTCATTTGGAAGTGAATTCTACTCATAGATTATTTATTGACTTATTAATTATCATGATATAAAATAAATTGTCATTTGTTCCTTTAAACATATTACAATGTGCCTATATACTAAAAAACTTATTAATTGGTACTAGATTACACGTGCATATGATATTTTTTATGACAATATCCAATATCATACACTCATTAATTAATTGTATTAGAATGGGAGCACGAGAGGTATTAATTAACAAACTATTAGTGGTAGTAAAAAAACATACCATATACATATAAATTAATAAATATTTTTTCATAAATCTATTAGTTTATTTATCATAAACTTCCCTAAATAGAAATAAAAATAATGTGTAATTCTAAAATATGAGTACTATATTTTTTTCTAAATAGAAGTAATTATTATTATGTTTAGAAATTACTGTCAATTATGGTATTAATAATACCATGCTAAATTGTGGTATTACTAAAATATTGTAGTGTGATTTTAGGATGACAATAATTCGTTTATTTAAAACAAAATATAATACTCTTATTTTTGAATTGTACGTTGTGTTTTCTCCTATTGAATTTTACATTGCATTTTGTGTTCTACACTTTACTTTTTGGAATGTATTTTACTTTTTGCTACTCTTTCTCTTTTTGGTAAGTTCCCTTTAAAAATAATCAATTACTATTTCAATTCTCTTTCATACTTTTCCACACCCTCTCCTACCTTTCCGGCACTATTCATTACCCATATTATTGTCCTCCTAAATATTGTGTCAAACTCTATTGTAAAAAACAATAGAATACAGAGAGAGTATATCTCTACAATCTTATAATCCTGAATGAGAGTTAGGGTATTATGGGTATAAAAAATTTTGTTGGTGGTATTGTAAGCTTAGCTGACATGTACACCATGTTTAGATGCTTGTAAACTTTCAACCTCATCTGGTTATATCTCCCTACAACCGTTTGTCTCCGTTCTATCTAATGGTCTTCCTCTATAGCGATCTTTCCCGTTACTCCCGTTAACTCCTCTATCTAATGGTCTTCTAGGTTTACATCCCAGTAGAGCTGAGCCTACCCTGTCGGCCTCAATTTTACTGGCATGGCGATCCAGCAGCTCCTAAGTCTCTCCTGCCGGTCCCGGAGGTACGTTTCTTCCCAATTAGTCAGACCTCTATCCTCAACATCCGTTTCTATGGCTACAGATACCGCTCAGTCCATCACACCCTCTCCCCCGCCACCCACGGCCATGATCTACGACTGATTAGCCGAAGGAGTTAAGTAAAAAATTAAGCGTCTTGAGAATCCAAACCCCCGATTCTTATAATACAATTCACCCCACCCTGTCTTGACTGACCACACCGATATTCTCAACGCTCAGGACACACGTGCATTGTGACCACCTTACCTAATGGATTGAGATTAGACACGGAGTCCAACCTATCATCCCGCACTGCCACGGTCGGTGGATTCATCGACTCTGGATCGAGATTCGAGACTGAAGAGACTAATGGTTGAGACGCAGAAGTTACATACTCCGTTACTAGGTTCTCATTGTGTGGAGCTTAGTACCTCTAATAAAAACACAATTTTTGTGTTACCAGAAAGATCTCAAGACATTTTTTCTTTAAAATGCCACCCAAACACACTTGGCACATTGTTCTTTTTTCCTATTTTTGTTTTTGCTTCACCCATTGCTGTAATGCCGTTGGTTTTTTGTTAGCCATAACCTTAATAACATAATACTTCTTCCTAAAGAGAGCCCCAATGTTAAATGATTTATGTGTTATACAAGAAGAAAAAAAGTTGGATATCCATAGTAGAATGAGCATAGCAGAGAAAAAAAAGCACTTCCTTGGGGAATGGCAAGGCATGACAAGTAAAATTTGGTAGCATGTAATATAGTACAATATCAATATACACTGCAACTCAAGACCATCATGTTCTTTTCTCTTTCTCTAAAGATAGAACTAATCACTATAGTGAGTACTGAGTAAAGTTGTTCTATAATAGATAATGAGGATACCGAATAATATTTGGATCTAAATATTATTCTTATACAATGTTGGGCTTCAATGAAAAGATAAACATTTCATAATTTGATTCCTTGTCCACAATCTTTATTTATTTGTACTATTAGAAGCAATCAGTTTAGGTTGAGTCTTGGTTATAATTAATCCTCTAGATGGTTCAAGTTTCTATCTCCTTGAAGCTTGAAGCCTAAAGGTTGATACAAATAGAAAGTCATCTATTAACCTAAGGAGAAGATGCTTCGGCATATGTTCTACAAGTACATCTTGACATCCATTGCCAGACTCACAAACTTTCTCAAGAAAAGGAAAAATCGCATTATTTTCAAGGTATCCATAGTAGAATGAGCATAGCAGAGAAAATATAACACTTCCTTGGGGAATGTCGAGGCATGGTGTAACACCCCGGCCCCGCAGGATGCGAGGTAGTTACTCCAGACCTCTAGTACTGTCCTCACAAACCACCACAAGCCTTTACCGCGCACTTTGTCCTCACTCATGCGCGCCCTGAGAAACTTCCCAGGGGGTCACCCATCCCAAGACTACTCCCGTGCAAGCACGCTTAATTTTGGAGTTCTTGGGTGATGAGCTCCCTTAAAAGGAGATGCACCTCTGTTGGTATGAGTAGTACTATTAATCCGTTTAAATTAAATCTCAAGTGTTACATTCACCCCCACTTAGGATCGCAACGTCCTCGTTGCTCCTCGTTGCGCCCTTAAACCAATCTCAAATCTCAATCAAATCCCAGAATCTTCCCCCGCTAAGTGCCCGCCCGATTTCCAACGGGTCATCACACTGTCGCGGGGTTGCTCTGATACCACCTGTAACACCCCGGCCCCGCAGGATGCGAGGTAGTTACTCCAGACCTCTAGTACTGTCCTCACAAACCACCACAAGCCTTTACCGCGCACTTTGTCCTCACTCATGCGCGCCCTGAGAAACTTCCCAGGGGGTCACCCATCCCAAGACTACTCCCGTGCAAGCACGCTTAACTTTGAAGTTCTTGGGTGATGAGCTCCCTTAAAAGGAGATGCACATCTGTTGGTATGAGTAGTACTATTAATCCGTTTAAATTAAATCTCAAGTGTTACACATGGCAAGTAGAATTTGGTAGCATGTGATTAATATAGTACAATATCAATATAAGCTGCAACTTAAGACTTTAAAATTCAAACTGTATATATCAGTTTATCAACTTTCCATGCTTCAACTTTATTAGAACAATGAAAAAATGAATTTGAATGACCAGTGACATGAATTCCCTAAGTTGAACCATTAATACTATATACACCCGTATGTTACTGTATATAACACCTTAAGGGAAAAAATGATATATTACATTGTGGCAGTTAAAATAAAATGATAATAAAAACACCCAGTCATGCCTTTTGACTTATTTGTTAAAATAAACTCCGTTTTTTTCCAGCCGAAAGAGGCTCCGAAATCTTTCTTGAACTTCACGCAGCTCTTCCTAGAAGGTCACTGTGGCAATACCATCTTCCACGCATCATCAAGTCATTCCTCATTGAAGGGGTGACCCAACTGGCAGTGGCACC